GCACAACTGAACCTTTATGATGGTAATTCTTACATTTCTTCTAGCAGAAATATAGGACACAATTTCATTTTGATGACTGCCTTTTATTCACTATCTTTTGAATAGATCTTACCAAATCATGCCAGTTTATCTTGACAAACAGAGCACATTGTAGTAAGCATAAGAAAGAGAAAATGAAACTACAACATAATGAATTACACTGGCAAGAGTGTCACTCATTTTTYCTTTCATAAGTGGTGTTTGGATTTATAAAACTTCATAATTTTGAAGTCTTTCAAAGCAGTTACCTGCCAGCCATATGTAATGTTTATTTTTTAAGCAACAAGACAAAGACATGGAAAGAAGGAGTTTCTTTCAGGAAAGATTTTGACTTGTGGTCTTAGAAACTATTCTCTTATTGAGGATATTGGATTACAGTCAGGTGCTGCCTCTAACTTTATTATTTTGGGTGTTTCTTTTTTTATTAGGCAAGAGAGAGAAAAAAAAAAAAGAATAGCAAAACCAACCAACCAGCCAAAGTAGATCTGTGGCTTCAGTTCAAAGACACCTTTTTTTAAGCAATTGATTTGGAGCTGCTTGTTTTCGTGCCCTTTGTACTTGCTGTGTTTTTTCCCTTTAGTGTCTTCTATCACGTTGTGCTATTGAAATGGAGTGAGTCGTGTTTATTCCAACCTCTAAGATTTGCTGTGCATACAGAACTGGGAGTGCAGCCCTGCAGCCTATTTGTGCACACTCTSTGTAAATCAAACAGCGTGCTGAGCCTTCAAATATTGCTGTGGGTTACTGTGCCATAACCTGAACTGCAGAATATTCTGTCTTGGGGAAAAACAGCCTGCTGGATCTTGTCAGCTGAGCACTTAGGGAAGTGAGAGAGAAAATGATTAGATAACATCCTTATCTGTGAAGACCCAAGAGAGCTGGGTTTTCCATATTCACAAGCTATTGGCAGCAGTATCTACTCCAAACAAACAAAAAATTTCCCTGATAGAGCGCATCATGCAGAAGCGAAGAAGAGAGGTCAGAGCACATTTCTGCAACACCAGAAAATCCTGGCCAGTCTGATCATGCTCACAKTGTAAGCCTGTCTATCCAGAATGTCTTTCTTCTGTTTATGTCTGTGAAAATGACAAGTTAGGACAAGGAGGGTGCTAAGGAAAAAAGCTGGGGAAAATGGAGCTTCTCTCACGCTGATATCATGTGGATGGGTGTTGGGGACACCCCCTCACCCTGACAGTAGCATTCACTGTCTCAGCTAGAAGAGTTTTTTGCATTTACTTCCTAATCAACACTGCATCACTCTTGACATGGCAGTGGAGTGGTGTTGATTCAAATAAATCCTTTAGATTTCCCTGGTTTTTATTTTATTTTGGATCCTGTAGTGAATGAGTTGCTCTGGCTAGCCATGAAATGAGGGGTTTTTTAGCTTCCTGGCTATGAAAGAGACTCACTTTGTCTAATATTAGATGTCTAGACTGGAGGCAAAAACATTTTTTTCCTCAGTAAAAAGACATGATGGTCTTACAGTGCATAGTTCATCTGACCTATTGTAAAATCAATATTGCAGTAAGGAATATGACACCAGAATACTCTATTCTACTGAATCTTAAGAAAGTCTAGACAAGCAACTTATCAATCCAAGTTTAGCTGAAATTTATTTCACAGGATTAAAGAGCTTTTTTTAGCAAGGTAGCATGGAGYATGCTTTCTGGATTCCTCAGGGTCCACTCTAAAGATTACAAATACACTCTGCATTATCTGCTGGGGGCAAAATGTGTGACCTGTCAGTTGGAAAGAAGCCTGGTATTTAATTGGGTTTGTTTGTTCACTTCAGARTCAACTAAAGCTGGAGTGTAGGGGGGGAATTCTCTGTAAGGGAGAGTTTCAAAGACTCTCCAGATTGCATTTCCCCAGAAGCAAGCCCCAATGTTGCAAGTAATTCAAGTTTATCCATAAAAGCCTGCACCATAATTTCAGTATTCTTATACTCATTTCTGTGATACAGTAAATTCTGAAAAATATTAAGTTCTTTTGCTATTCCTGAGAAGGATTAAATTGAAGAGGATATTAAATTATTGTGTTTACATGGAAACATGAGATCAATCCACAATAAAAAGTATCTGATACCCAGAAGATAGTTAATTTTGCCCTTTGATAATAATGTCACACTTATAAGTTTCTGTTTCTTTCTTTATGCCTTAGTTCACTTTAAAGAAATTAGTCAATTTAAAGAAAAAGTTTCTTGTATTTTCACTCATTTAAAACTAAGTGCAGAGGAAATCATGTAAGCTTATGGTTAGATAACCACTTCTGTCCRGGACAAATCTGGGCTGCCATCAACAGGTGTAGTCTGCTTATTCCCATTCATTTAAGAACTTGCAATAATTCCCTGGCATTGACACCGATGTTTGCACAACTGGACTGAGAGTCAAATCASGGAACCATTGTGGCTGCAAAATAGCTGCAAACTTTGTATTGTTCTTTTTGCAAGATACAAATGGTTGGTAACACAAGACCTAAAGGAACTTTTTAATTCTGGGTGTTTAGCCAATAGATTTGAACAGAGTGGTTGGAGAAATAAGGAAGTTCTCTTAGACCCTATGTTGGTTACTCTGCAGGATGAGTAGCTCAGTCAGTCAAATAGGCATAAAGGTGAGCTTCCTCTCAGAATGGAAGCATCCAATCTGGACCTCTCCAAGTCCATCTGTGGCCAGTGGAAAAAGGCACCTCCAGAGGGCAATGTCTTCTCATTTTTTAAAAAAAATATCTAGAATGCATAAAAAAAGTCACCCTGTGGAAATGCCTGTCTTCACAGACTGTTTTGAGAACAAGGTGACTAACTCAGGCTAGGAGCACAGCTTTTCAGTGTCTAACATAGGGAAAAGTAGATCATCTTCCAAATGGCTTCTATGTTCAGAGAAGTTTATGGCAGAGTTTAATTTCCATAGGTAGCTCTTTCTCTACTACCACAACCATTAGCCCTCTTTTTCTAGGATAGAGCTTGCTTTGATGGATAGGGAAAGATTGTGAACTCTGATTAAACTTCCAGGATGATATGGTGGAATTTCAGAGACTTTAAAATCTGGAGCAAGACAGTGGATCATTTTTGTCTGGTCTCCTGTATAATACAGGAAAATTGTATTGTAAGAATTTTTAGCTATCCTTGAACCCTACCATTTGCATGTCTTTAAAGAAAACTTAGAATTGCRAGCTTTTAAATTTTAATATGGCTTTGTTTCAGGAATGAAATATGTTTCTTTGGGTTTCAACTGTCAGGGATTTTCAGGTTGACCACTTTTGCAGTTACTTTTTCATGCATTGTGACTCAGTACCTAATCATCTTTGATTCAGTCAGCAGTTGCTAAGCTTTCCAGCAGYTGTCTCTCTAACACTTCTGAATCCCCATGATTTCTAAGAAAACTCTGTTGATGCAAGTAGGACACAAGGTGACCCTGACCTTAACAGAAGTTTGTAAAACAAATGTCTTTGTGACCATACAGCTAGTGGAATATTGGGAAGGTGCTATCCCAGTTTTCTAATGCTARTCTGGAGTGTGGGCTAAATAAACTGATCTGTGGTGAAGTTCTAGAMCTTTCTTACCAGCATTCCTCCAAACAGTTCCTGGGCAGAATTTGGGAACTAGGACAGGTTGGTGACCAGGCAAAGGAGGCAGCTTACATGTGGCTACACTCTGTTGGAAGGTGACTGAGTTTAATAGAGCATAGCAAATTGCATAATATTAAATGCATAAATAAATCAACAGSCTGGGGTTTTGCCAGATGGTTTCTATGCCAGAGAAACAGTCCCTCTCACTTTTCATTTACTAGTGTAGACTTACTCATGGAGTCCTCAGCAGGAGCTGCTACCAGACAAAAGAGTATTTCCAGACTGCAGGAGCTGAGATACCCACGGGTCTATGCAGCTACACAAAGCCAGAAGTCTAGGTGAAACATGGTCCTAGAGCAGTTCACCTGCAGATGTTKCTCCAGTGTTTCACAGCTTCTGGGGCGATTAAGGTCCCTGGAGTCATTCCAGTGCTGCAGCTTTGCCTACCATGGTGTGTGCAAGGTGTCCCAGGACAGCACAGTTTTGGGTTGCAGCAGAGCTATAGGTGAATTTAGCTGTTAAATAAAAAAAAAAAAAAAGTCAGGAATTGTAATCAGCACACAAACTTCAAAACGTATCAATTTCGTTAGGAGTTTAATTGAAAGTGACATGTTTGCAAAGCATATAGTTTCTAAAGCCTGGCTTTTTATAATGAAAAAGCATTCTGACTCATTGCATGCAATCAGATCTAGACTGAGGAATGCCTTCAAGAAAGTATAGTAAGATGTATAAGATGTATAAAATCCAGCCATTTCTTTAGTAATAAGTCACAGTAATTGTAATAAGTCCAGAGTAAAAATTTGAATTTTATACTTCATTGGACTTTGTAGTACTTAAGTTTCCTTCCTTGGTACTTTCATCTTGTACATCAAAGAGCCCTTTTATATCCAGCATTTTCTGTCTTTGAATGTACTCAATACTATAATCAAGTCTCCTCTTGAACTGCTTTCCAGTAGTGTAAACTGATCAATTTCCTGGAAGTTTCTTTGCTACATGAGTTTTTGTTCAAAATGAAAATTTATTTCAGACTGATGAAAATCATTTTTGCCAATGTCACTTGCTTATGAATTACTCCTTTGGAGGCATATGAAAACATATTCTCCTCCATTCAATGACCCAGTTCAGTCCCAGTGATGTTGTGCAGGGAGGCTTTTCATTCCTTTGGCATTGATTTTCAGTGAGGCATCCCAAGAACTAACCGGAAGCAAATTTGAGTTTAGGTATCACTTGTTATTAACCAAGGTCATGTCTAATAATACACAAGACTTAGAGTGATTAGCTTCTTGTTTTCTTCACCCTGATCAGAATCCCAAGCTTCCAGATCRGATAGCAAAGATTTGAGAGTCAAAGGAAAATGGCCAACATTAGAGTAACTCTACTTCTGCTGTTTTTTCTAGGTATAAAGATTTGGCTGATACAGCAGCAGGAGAGAAGAAGAAATTGTCTGCCAAGGAGAGATGTCGTCTTGTTCTTCAGCAGTGTAAATTACAAGGCTGGCAGGTTTGTGATCTACAAAGCAATTAAAATATCATTCTTTAAACAAGCTAGCTGAGTCATCTCCATTGGTGGCAAGCCACCAGATCCCTTGCAGCAGTGTATTCTTTTGACATTTAATATATGCTTGGGTATATTATCAAACTGATTTTCAGAGTTTTATGAGTAGCTGTGATTACTGTGTCAAAAAAATCAGTGTATTCTTGTGGGAAGAAAAAGATTTCAATTAAGCATGCGTGCTATGTAAATTTGTATTCAGATTTTTGAAGGTATTTGGTATATACATTTTAGTGGTTGAATGGATCCTGAATAACCCTACATATTTTATTTCTTTAAAGTCCTACACTAAATGCTATATTGTCATAACAGGGCAGACGCAAAATTAAGTAATTAGAATTTCCCAGGTAGTCAATGCATTTGTAGATGCCAGCATGGTGATGCACAGATACATCAGAGAACCTGAGGCTGCTGTACATCAATTAAAGTTTTAAAAAAAAAAGAATAGTACTAAACACTAAACAGGAAACTGTCAACTCCCTATCCTGTCTTTCTAACCTATTTTTATCCTAGTTAATGCTCATCAGCATGAAGACTGCAAGGTGCCTGTCTCCATTTGTCCAGAGTACTCTGTTGTCGCCTTTGGGTAGCTTTGTAATTAAGCAGGACTGATTTCTTTAATATGTGATWTTTTAAAAGAAAAATGTGTTTCCTTACACGGTATAGAAGCTATTGTATGGAAATGTAGCTTTCTGTAAATTCACATACATTCCTGCAGGTGGTGTGAGCTTCAGATTCAGGCCTTTATCTGGCCTAGCAGGATTGAGGGATTGGACAGTGGTTAGGGCACTCCTACAGGTTTCTTTGGTTTAAAAGATGGGGTCTTCTAATTAATGTATGAACTCTTAMGTATTAAGATGCCCAGGAAAAGTTTCTGCAGCAGTTTATAAAGGACAAGGAGTGTCAGACTGTGTTATGGGTATTTCTGAGTGGCCCAGATTCCTTAGTAATAATGGGAACAAAGGTGGGGCCCCGCTAGGTTGGGAGCACACATGCATGATTACCTGTACTCCGACATGTGAGAAATTTTTTATTTCATCACAATACTGTTTAAAGTCACATTTTAGTCACCAAACAAAGTAAGAGGGCAAATACAGACCCTCTTCCTCAACAGCAAAGACCATAAGACTGAAAAAGATACCGATAWTAAACTAGACATGCTTTTCCTACCCAATTTTCTCAAGTCTGCTGTGATCTATATTCTGCATCATTGCCACAAGGTTCTCTATTAAAAACCCCCAATCATTAACATCTAGAAACTGTACCTTCACTTACAAGTACCTGGAGATGAGAGAAGCTCTCCGCTTTAGAACTTTTGTGGGGATACAAGCCTGACATGGGACAAAAGCTGTGTAACAGTAATTGTATTGTGTGCTCCAGTCAYGAATCACAGAGCAGGATGCCTATCAAGTTTATTTTCCCTGGAGCCAAGAACCATTATTACAGCACCGAAAAAAAGCAGCTGGTCATCAGTGAAAGCCTAGAGCCTGAGACTAGTGATTCTGTAGTGATTGGCATCTGAAAACAAGCCTGAAGCCTAGGAAGACAAAAATGTTAAAAGGAAATAGCAAAACAGAATCCTTCCATCGTGCAGAGGACTGAAGCTTGTGATCTCAAATGGATTTTAGAAGTTCTGACACCAGAATCTCATAAAGACCAGAAGTCAGGTGTGCAAAACTGCAGCAGTGCATAATGTATTATATCTCAGACCAGAAAAGAATAAAACTCTTCAGAGACACTGATAAGTTAAATGGAATAGGAGGATTTGGGGGTGAGAGTCATACCATTGTCATTCAGTGACTAAGAAGCACATGGCAATAGACTAAACTCAAAAGAACAAGGTTTGAAAAAACACTCATTTGAAAAAATGAGTGACCTTCTCCATACAGCTTTTTCAAGCCACAAAAAAACAAATGGAAAGATGAAAAGCACAGAAAAAAAAAAATTAAGAAGAAAATTCACTCTAAGTCCAATTTATTAAATGCCCAGTGAATACCAGCATGGTACCAACATGTTTTGTATAGGTGATAGAAAACCACATACCCAGCAATCAGCCATAGTGACTAATGTCTGTGTCACATAATCTCTCAATTATCTTTTTGATTCATTTGACTAATCATGAAAGCTGAACTTTAAATAACAATCTAAATGAAGAAGCTTACACAATCTGCATTTGTCATGGGTACTCCTCTACGCTTTTACAGCAGAGGACTCTGAAAAAAAAAAAAAGGAAAACATTTAAAGAGGAGAAGGAGGGAGGTGGAAAAGAAAGGAAAAAAGGAATTAGGAAGCAAGGATGGTGTCAGTTAGCAAAATCAGAAGGAGTCATCTGTAGTGCATCACCAAAAATCATCCAAGAAGCAGGGGGTTACACGTATAACCAGTTTATTCAGCCACTGTTGCCAGCAGTAACTACTTCAAATGAGTCACTGCTGGAACTGAAAATCTATTTGTTGCAGGAGTTCATGAATAAATCAAAAATTGTCTTTCCCAACACTGTTACATGCACTTCCCTGAAGAGCTGTTGCAAATTCAGGTAGATAAATGAACCAAAAAAAGTAGCTTAAATAGACTCATCAGAGATGATGATGTTTAGGAGAAAGCAGCACTGATCTGAAATCAACCTCCTGCTTATATGTCATCATCAGAAGATGAAGTTGCCAATAAGCTCCACAGCAGAGGGAGGAAAAGAAAGATCTGGACTTTTTAGCAGAGTGAATCCAGATGATACTTTATTTAACTTCCTTCTGATAATGTACTTCACCATCCCATTTTGAGAAAGGTGGTATTAACTTGGGGGAGAGTGAAGTAAAAACCCCGAAAATTAGTAAAGAAAATGGTATCTTTGTATGTATTTCCTGCTTGACAATTTATCTTTTCCTTCTCACATAAGTTATGTTTGRAGAGTGTTTTATTAACAACAAAACAACAAAGCCCAGACCCTCCTCATAGAACATGTTCTTTCTTCTATTGTAAATACTGCAGTCTGTTTGCAAATACACAAAAAGTGCAGAAGATCCAATAGCASAGTCCAGCTTTGGTTTATTTTCTGCTGTTTAGCAGAGTATGAGAGCAAATACAATTAGCTAGACAATGTCTTGTGCTTCATTCAGCAGCTTGTGCGCTAGAAGTATTTATTACCATAGAATAATTAAGGTTGGAAAAGATCTCCAACATCATTGAGTCCAACCTTTGACTGAATACCACCACATCAACTAAGCCTCTAAGTGCCATGTGGAGTTGTTTCTTGAACACTTGCAGGGGTGGTGACTATACCACCTCCCTGGGCTGCCTATTCCAATTCTTAATCACCTTTACAGTGAAAAAATTCTTCCTAATGTCCTATCCAAACCTCCTCTGGCACAGCTTGAGGCCTTTTCCTCTTGTCCTGTCACCAGTTTTCTGGGACAAGAGGCACCCCCCCCCACCTTGCTACAACCTCCTTTCATTGTAGTTGAAGAATTATTATGTCACCTCTGAACCTTCTATTTTCCRGGCTGAACAACCCCAGTTCCCTCAGTTTTCACCAGCTTCACTGCCCTTCTCTGGACACGGTCCAGCACCTCAATTTCYCTGTTGGAGTAAGGGGCCCAGAACTGACCTCACCAGTGCTTAGAACAGAGRGACAATCACTGCCCTGGTCCTGCTGGCCACACTATTGCTGGCCCAGGCCAGGGTGTCACTGGCCATCTTGACCACTGGGCACTGCTGATCATGTTCAGCCAGCTGTCAGACAGCCCCCCAGATTCTTYTCTGCTGGGCCATTTTCCAGCCATTCTGCCCCCATCCTGAAGCACTGCCTGGGTTTTTTTGTGGACAAAATGTGCCCCGAGACTTGGCTTTATTGCATTTCCTACCATTCTCCTTGGCCCAWTGATCCAGCCTGTCCAGATCCCTCTGCAGAGTCTTCCTGCCTTCCAGCAGATGAACACTCCAACCCACCTTGGTGTTGTCTGCAAACTGGCTGAGGGTAACTCARTCCAAACCATTGATAAAGGTATTRAACAGGGCYGACCCCAATAYTGAGTTTTGGGGAACCCCACTAGTGATCAAATGCTGACTAGATGTGGAACCAGCCGCGTTCACCACCACTCTCTGAACCAGTTTTAAACCCAGCAAAGAGGGCACCTGTCCAAGCTATGAGCTGCCAGCTTTTCCAGGAAAATGTTGTGTGAGGCAGTATCAAAGGCTTTACTGAAGCCCAGGCAGACAAACAGCCTTTCCCCCATCCACTAGACAGGTCACCGTGTCATAAAGGAGATCAGCTTGGTCAGGCAGGACCTGACTTTTCTATACCCCTGCTGGCTGGACCTGATCCCCTGGTTGTCCTGGATGTGCTGCATGGTCAAGATGTTCATTTCCATCACCCTGCCCACTGAGGGCAGGATGACAGGCCTTTAGTTTCCCAAATCTTCCTTCAGGCCCTTGTTGTAGATGGGCATCGCATTGGCCAAGCTCCCATTGTCTGGAGCCTCCTGGTTAGCCAGGACTGGTGATGAATGATGAGAGGCTTAGCAAACCCTTCCACCAGCCCCTTCACTGCCCCCAGATGGATCCCATCCAGTGCCCTGTCAATGTYTGAGTGGCACAATAAGTCACTCACTGATTCCTCTTGGATTGCAAGGGATCTGTTCTGTTCCCTGCCCCTCCCTCCAGCTCAGGAGGCTGGTTGCCTGGTCTTTCTGTTRAAGACTGAGGCAAAGAGGGCATTAAATACCTCTACCTTTTCCTCTTTGCATCCAGTCAAGGATGGAGATTTTCCTTGGACCTGTTTTTGTTAATGTTTAATAATATTTATTAATATTTAATATTAATATTTAATTAAAAATATGTCTATTATCTTTCCCAGATTGAGTTCTGAGCTTTTGTCTCTCTAACCCTTTTTTCTACATAATCTAGTGACATCCCTGTACCCTTTCTAAATTGCCTACCCCTTCTTCCAAAGGATG